CCCCCCCCCCCCCCCCCCAATCACACTAGGCATTTCTAGGCATCAAACCTCAGTGCATCAAACATTCGAATTACATTAAATTGCTAATTAATTAGATATAATATCGAATCATTTGCATTTTAAATATAAAAGCAAGATTGCATATTTTAGCATACAATACAAAATAGGAAAAAGTTATACAAAAATATCATATTAATGAATGATATAAACATGTAAAAGTGCAATAATATTTACATATTATTATAAAATGTAGATAAAAAATACCTTTTTCGAAACTTTTTCCACCATGTTTTTTTTTCCAAGGTGTAAGGGGCCACGTCCATATTCGTGTTGCCACGCTTAGCGTCAAATTGACGTTAACACTCAAACCCACCCACCTTCATTAACATCAAGCGTGACAGTCATGTTTTAGCCAGGAAATAGTGAGAGTTTATTGTGAATTGATGATCTCACCTCAAATGATGAGTTCACCTCAAATTCTTCAAAATTTTCACAAAATTGTCATTATGCCACGAATAAACGTCAGGCAAGTTAGGATAAAACCCACCCACCCACTCTTAACGTCAATTTGATGCTAAGGTGGCAACATGAATATGGACGCTGCCCCTAAACCATTGACTGCAATCGTTCCGTTCAGCGGAGTCACTAAAAACCATTGAACTAAACTTTCAACTATAAAGAGTTGAATGCTAAGAACTAGATTCCAGTCTTCTCTATGCAAAAATTGCACACAATGGTGCAATCTTGCTTGATTAGTTTGTATTTGTTTTTCTTTTTTCAAATTCAAAATGGTAGATATATTTTGAATTTCATCTCATAAACGAAATAAAGTCATTTTAATATGTAAGAATCGTATGCAATTTCAAAATTTAACCCCCCCCTTTTCCTTTCGGGAAACAAAAAACTACCCCCCCCCCAAAATAGCCATATTTAAAAAATTACCCCCCCCCCCTCAAAATTTGATTAATATGTACTTTAATGCCGTAACAAACTCAAATGTGAACGGAATTCAGTAACAATGGATTGAATTAAGTTTTTATCTAGTTATTACAGATCAAATCCAGGTGTACCTTCGAAAAATGGGAACAGATTTACTATTTAGTAACTATTTAGGATGTAAATCAATAAAAATCGAAAGCATCTTGTCAATACAAATCGGTAAATATCAAAGAAAATTGATGGCTATCGATAATAATCGATAAAATTGGCTATAAGTTTTTTGTGACTATCGATTGGTCATCGATGACCAATGTCAATCGATATCAATTAAGTAATTAACATCGATTACCATTGATTGATCGATTGGATTTCCGATGATCGGTTTTCATCGGGAACCATTCTATTTGTAAGTGTTTATTCTGTTGAATTAATATTCATTGCTTAATCTTGGTATAAATATTAGAACTGTAGAAACACTAAAAAGTTTCAGACTTATTTTTAACCCATTGAGCCGCAAATATGTGCCCCAGGGCGCCCTACTTATTTCTTTACTTGTCTAACGCCATACGATTATACTCGTCAATGGGGGAAGCTCTGCAGCTTAATTGCTTAAATTAACCAAAAAATCTGACAATGTCTTTAGTTAACACATTGTGCCCTACATAGACGGATTTTCATGTTTTTTACTGGGGTGGTGCTAGAAATTTTAGGGGGGTGAGCCGCGAGCAGGTATCTGAAGCAACACAAAGTGTCACCAAACCACAGTAAGGTCTATATTCTAGGAGTGGAGCACTAGAGCCGCGAGTGGGAGTCTAGAGAGCAGAAAACAAAGTATCCCTAGAAAAATGTGAAAAAAATTAGGATTTCTAGCTTCGAAAAAACGTTTTTTTGAAGTTGTCATATCAATGGATTTGGCCTGTCCGATTGTCTGTTGTGACTTGAGTTAAATGAACCTGTAAAAGTGTAAACCCAATAGGCCAATACACAATATGCTTTTACTTTTATAAAATCATTGACTTTGTGTCGTTTGAATCCGAGTACAATTTATGATGCAACTCCGATGTAAATAATATTTGGGACGTAAAGATTAAATCTAGGCAAGACTATTTCCTAAAAGAATTAAAAACTAAAAATAATGTTCGTAAAATTTCCAAACGTTCCTTGCAAGCAAGCTATTTGCATGACAAGGCACTGCAAACTCTATTCAGGGGAGATAATAGAGTTTCAAAACTTTACAATTGGTCCAATAAACCAGTGAATGCAAGCAAGGAGCAATTAGTTTCAGAGTATTGCACTCTTTTTCTGTTTGAGTGTACTCCTACGTTTATTTTGTATCATCAACACTCTGCATGTTGGAGTGGACTATTTAATTATTTTTTATTATGCCGAATATTGGGGGGGGGTTGAAATTTTTTTTGGAGGGGTGGATATTTTGTTTGCGGGGTTATAGTTAATATTGGGGGGGGGGGGGGTAGCACCCCCTGCACCCCCACAAAATCCGTCTATGGTGCCCTAGTGCGCCCTATTTATTTTTTTTACTTGTCTAACCCATTACGAACAGAGGTCAGAGGCGTAGCCAGAGCCGGGGGGGGGGGGCAGCCCCCCCTGGCAAAATTTTGGGCCCCTCCTGATAAAATGTATTGTATAAAAAAGGGAATCCTTTATTATATAGCTTCATGATGTCAATAATACAAAAATTCTGTAGAATATATGCTTTGCTGCGCATCGGTATGAAACCTAAAAATCTAAAATCTTGTTCGCTTATTTGCGGCACACAGCTTGAAACACATACCTTTTCTAACCATAATTATTTCAATATGTATTAAATGAGGGTTAGATGAAGTTTAAACCAATCTGGTTTTTTACCAGTGAATTTTTAACGCGGGCTCGGCGGGCTCAATTTTGTCGGAATCTTCGTGGCGAACAGGGTTGGTAACTTGGCCTTTTGGCAGCCAAATAACTCGATTTTGGCTTTTTTATTTCTTGTTTGGCCTTGAAAAAAATGTTTGGCCTTTTGGCTCTATTTTGGCTTTTTTATCAAGTGACAGGAATTTTCACTATTTTTTAGTATAATTTATTATGAAGGAACGTAAACCATAAAGCAACATGTAAGAATGTAAGAATTGTGTATCATTGACAGAGGATAACCTAATTTTATTGACACTCAATAAGATCTCAGGAATTCAGCCAATCGTAAAGCTGAAAAACTAGCCAATGACAACATTGTAGCTATGTCTTCGCAGAGGTCCGTCCCGAAAAATGACAAAATTTGCTTTGAAATTTGAATTTTTTATCTATCAACATACTGCACTTCTCTAACCCTAGACAGTAGAGATAACCTGACCAATGTAAGTCGAAAATATTGATAAGATTTGAGCTCTTTTTTTGGCTTTTCTCAAAAAAATGAAATTTGGCCTTATTTAGTAGAATTTGTCCATTTACACTTGATAATTTCCATCTACTACGACCCTTCAATTTGCACACATGGCGACTTTGCACACAGTGGCCCATTTATTTGATGGAAATTGTGCAACCAATTTTCAAAAAGTAACTTGTAAAAATTGTGCATAAAGTATGTCTTGAATACAGTACTCAAAAATGCACTTTTATTTATCTCATAATGAACTTATTTTCAGAGTTTGGGATTTTACCTGAGATCCTTCAGGCCATTGAAGAAATAGGCTGGCAGTAAGTTGTGAATAAATTGTTTTTTTATGTAGCTAACATTATCCAAAACATTGCACAAGATGCAGGGGTAAGTTGGGGCGGTTGCTCAAATTAGGGCTACGGTAATCAGTGTCCATTTTTTAAAATATTGAAAGGACAAGGTTTCGTTTGTTTTAAAATGATGGTGTCATAGGATCCTGGGTAAAGGTTTTGCACCATTCCCCATGAAATATCTTCACAGCCCTGGGTACACTGTCAGCTTAAAGTCCAGGGGGACGGGCCCTTAAGTAAACTTGCATAGCTAATTTCCCTCCTTGCCTCAATGTTGATATATATTTCAGTGGCCTATTATTATGTAATTGGTATAGGTAATAGCATGGTTTCGAGTGCAATTTGGATATAACATGCACGAGTGAGTTTTTCAAAGACCTCAAAATAGCACGAGTCCGAAGGACGAGTGCTATTTGAGGTCTTTGAAAAACTCACGAGTGCATGTTTATCCAAATTTCACGAGAAACCATGCTATTACTTATTAATAATTTACATAAAACTGTTCGAGACAATTGTAGTTTTAACTTACGCGTTTATAGCGAACATCCACTGGCAAAGTTTTCCTGGCTTTGTTTTATCACATTATACAACGCTAACAGCTTGAAAATTCCACTTGTTTAAGGTAAATGCTTTTCCATTTAAAAATAAAGATAAAAGCCATATTTTGCACGCGAAGGCAACTTTTACTCAACCTCGCAAGCAAGGGCCTCCACACCCACGGCGGGACGGAGACCCTTGTAAAGGCTGGTCACGTGACCTCCCAGATTCTGTGAGGTCACGTGACCAGCCTTTACAAGGGTCTCCGTCCCGCCGCGGGTGTGGAGGCCCTTGCTTGCGAGGTTGACTTTTACTTTGTGTAGCGCGGCGCCATGTTTGTTTTGTTTTGAAGCAATCTGTGACCGTTACTTCTTTAAACTAAATTGCTTTAAAACTGATTGGTTGATTTAATCATCACAATGTTTTTTCACCAATCAGATCAGTTTGTTACAGATTTTTGCACTGTGATTACAGAAAATTGCACTGTGATTACAAAAAATTGCACTGTGATTACAGAAAATTGCACTGTGATTACAGAAAATTGCACTGTGATTACAGAAAATTGCACTGCTGTTTGGGATTAACTGCACCGAAATCAACCAATCACAGTCGAGTAATATCTTTATGTATATTATTAGCTTTATAATGGGCAAGTATTTATTAGCATTTCGTTCAATAATTTTACAAAAAAACTTATTCTTTCTAGTTTAGTAATTATCTTTCAACATGTCATGGACGAATCTTTGATGTAACTTCGGTCCATCCAAATTATATATATATATATATATATATATATATATATATATATATATATATATATATATATATATATATATATATATATATATATATAATTATTATTATTATAATATATTATAATTATTATATATTATTATTATTTTTTTTAGGTAATGCCAAACTTGGTGTGATTTCTCCGCATTACATCAAATTCCGCATTACATTAATTCTAAGTCAGTAGTGAGATTTACAATTGTATATATACGTAAAAAATTCAATAAAGTTATTATTATTATTATTATTATTATTATTATAATTATAATAATTATAATAATTATCCCCGAGCCGACGGCGCGAAGCGCCGTGCGAGGGTACTAATTCCCCCCGGCTATTTACACCTGGGGAAACGAAAGCATTAGCGGAGTCTAAAGTTCATCAAATATCGCGGGCGTGGGTCACCAACGGTGTTGGGTGGGTGGTCATCCTCACTGACCTCAAAAATATGGCGGACTGTCATGAATAGCGGACACTGATTGGTCCAATTTAAAGTTTGCATTATAACGACTGCATGACGACAGCGAAATAGCAAACATTTCTTGATTTGATGATTCATGATTGATAAATTTCTTGCGAATATATTTCATTTTTACTCGCATTTTTGCAATATTTTGTAAATTTCAAAAGCTCTCTCAGGAAGAAACTTCGAAAGAATCGGCTAAAAGAAGGGAGCCGACGTTAACGAAGGTAAGTTTGTTTTAAATATTGATTTTATAATGGCTTTAAAACCCGACGGCGTTTGCGTATATGAAACAACTAAACAAGACAGAATATAATTTCGCTCAGTGTATCTTTAATATTGATTCACTTTTTTATTATATTGAATTTTTTAAATAAAAAAGAAAGCAAAGTTATTTGCAAGCGAGAATTTGAAATCATTTTATTGCAAACTCAAAGTTTATCGATAAAGCCATTTAATTAAAGGCAGTTTAGTTAAGCAGCACTTTAAAACGTTTTGCAAAGCGTTTGTGGTTGAATTTTACCTTATATTGAGGCTTATATTACGTATAATAACATACCTAACATATATATGTTGGGAAATTAATAATTTTGTAATTAAAAGTGATATTTTTAGGCGATTTTTCATTTGTAAGAATATTCTTAAAGAATTATCGTGTTACCATGACAACTATTTTAGAACTTCATGTTCGGAAAATACAATGGTTTTGTCAGCAAGGCGAGGGTTTCTGCATGCATGTATTTTCTAGTCTAGGATATACTATGTACATTTTGGAGGTCAAAAGTTTTTGTTTTTTTATTTAAATTTAAATGATTTTTACAAATAGATTATTAAATATGATAGATAAACCTTCTGTTTTGTGGTAACGATACATGAATAGAAGAGTTATTGATTTTGGGAAGAGTTAGTATTTTCAAATCTTGAAAAATTGGATCAGTGTGATCAAAATTTGATTTAAATGACATTAAACGCACAATTTTTTTTGTATTCTTAGTAACTTTTGAATTTGCTCTGTGTAAGTATATTTCCCCAGACTAAATTGGCATAAATTAAATATGGATAGACTAAAGCATAATACACTAGTTTTAAAGTATTCAAATTTGCATAATGTCGAACTCAGGCTATGATTCCAGCAGTTTTCGTAATCTTTTTCGAGACTGAATCTATGTGATTTTTCCATGTTAAGTGTTCATCAATGTTAACCCCAAGATCGAAATGATATACTTTTAACTTGATCAATAGGTTTGTTGTTTATAGATATAGTTACACTATGATTAAGTCCCTTCTTAGGGGATTTAAATAAAATAAATTTAGTTTTCTTAATATTTATTGATAATCTATTTACAATTAGCCAGTGAGCTATTTTGTTTATTTCTATTTGCATTATGTCATTCTATTCTCTAAGTAATTTTCAATAGATACCAATTGTGTACTTGCCTTGGTCAATAGCTTTTGTAATCTTATCGATAACTTCAATAATGGCAAATTCTGTGGATCTATTTTTTCTAAATCCGTATTGTTGATTAGATAAAAATTTTTTCTTATTTTTTCTAAATCCGTATTGTTGATTAGATAAAATTTTGTTAAAATTTTGTTATATTTACAGTGTTATTTATAATCTATTTATTGTTCAACAGCAATTTGTTCCGGTGTCTACATTTCGACAATAGTTTATTTCCAGAGTTCAAGGAGCTGAGTTTAGGATAATAAATAATTAGAAATTTTTCGTGCAGGAATAAGTTGCATCGTTTGGTTTTGTTTGAGTAGCTTTTACACTTTTTCATAATTCTCCATTTAATAGACCTTGAACTCTAGAAATGAACTATTGTCGAAATGTAGAGACCGGAACAAATTCCTGTTGAGCAATAAATAGATTATAAATAACACTGTAATATAACACTTTTGACCTCAAACATGTACATAGTATATCCTAGGCATAGATATCTTATATACACTAGATAATGCATCTAATTGTTCTGCAATTCAAAAATTGAAGCCGTGATTGCAGACTCAGCATATATTCCCATGAAATGAGAAGACTCGTATGTTTTTTATTTCTTAAACAGGGAACTTCAACATTAAGTTAAGCCTATTCCAAATACATTTTCAAACAGTTCAAATGATGAAAGTTATTGTTGTTTTTTAAGCGTTTATTATATAGCGAGTGGGAAGCTCGAACATGGCCGCCATCTATTCTAATGGGGGTAACCGCTGGAATATCCTTGGCTTCAATTTTACTTAATGAGATGCGCTATCTAGTGTATATAAGATATCTATGATCCTAGGCATACAACATAGCGCGCACGCCGGGTCAGCAAGCAATGATTTTCGGCAGTTTGCATGTCATTAAAAATTGCGCGAATTTTCCTTGTTTTACCAAAGAGAATGGTAACGAATAAATTAGTCATCTTTTTTCTTTCGCTGAGGCTCATGGTATTGTCTGGGTCGAAAGTGAACAGCAAATATAGAAAGGAGATGCTTCAAGGATCATTTTAATACCAAATAGTGGCCGTAAACCCACGAGGAAATAATAGAATATTTCGCCTTTTTGAGGACTAAAATGGACGATACTGCACAGTTTGTGAAATTTAACTAGTTTTCTCTCGGATAAAATTTGGCATCGTTTGTCAATCCTTGAAGAATTGTATTTGTAAAGCAACTTAAGACCTCTGGTGAGCATCGTATAATTTTTGTTTGTAAAATTTTGTCTCCGTTTGAGAGTAACAGGACCTATTACTTAGTTGTTTTCCTTGTGTTATTCATAAAGGATTCGCAGATGCACAGAAGTCGCATTTAAAAGATTTCCAAAGAAAATGCCTAATACCAAAGATAAACGTTTTAACATTGCAATGTATATGAAAGAAAGGAAAGAAGCAAGGTTTAAAGCTGTTCTAAATCATCGATCGCTAGCGTTGGAGCACAAGAAAAGCGAGAGAATTCCAGCCAAGGTATAGAAACCTAAGCAATGTATTTGTTATTCAGATATTAACATTCTATTTACTATCAGTATCATTTAACTTTGTTATTAATATAAACATTTACCTTTATGCAGATTGTAAAAGCAAAGGAAAAAACAGCTGCTTTGACATCTGATTTGGAAAACAATATGGTGAGTTTCTGTGACAAATCAAATCATGTGGTATAGTAGGATTAAACCCATTAAGCCGTAATATGTCTATATTTTGTTATTTTACTCTGTCTAATGCCAGATGATTTTACTCATCAAGGTGAAAATATTGGACATTAACCCATTATGCGCCAGCGCTCTCCCCTTGACGAGGAAAATCGTCTGGCGTTAAACAGAGTAAAATACTAAACTAAGGTGCATCAGGGTGCAATGCGACTCAATGGGTTAACTGGTAAATTACAGCAGCATATTTTGGTTCATCTATGCATTTTACAATTTACATTATAATATAGCATTTGTAAATTCTGAACGCTTATTGGCTAAGAGCCGTGTTGATATAACTCAATGTCAACACGGGAAATTTTCCGCCGCTTGTAAACACGGAAATTTTTCTTATCCTTCAGGCTTTTGACATTGCTATATTATAAAAAAATATAAAACATTTTTTCCGTGTTGATATATAGTTATATCAACACTCGTGGAAGTTGGGAAAACTCGAAATTGTATGAAAACACTCCGCCCTTCAGGCATCGTGTTTCCATACAATTTCTCGTTTTCCCCATTCCACTCGTGTTGATATAAATGTATATCAACACGGAAAATGTTTTATATTTGTTAAATAACAGTCAACTATTTACATGCACAGGTAATATATACTGTAAATTTAAGTAATAATATAAAAGATTCTGGACTTTCATGCAAGAAATACCTCGTCAGATAAACAATTATGATTTTCGAACACTTTTTTCAGGTTTTTTACAATTTTATTATTTAACGACAATAGGCCTACCAGTACTGCTAATATATTGCCTACCTGTTCAGTTCAACTATTTTGGCCTTGTTATTTTGGCTCGGCAACAATTGCATCATTTACCTCTAATATAATTTGTTCGTGATGGTAAGTGGGATTTGAGATGGGCCGTGACCATTTGATGATCCTAATTAATTTGGATTGTTGGCCCTGTAATTCTGAGACAAGGACAAGAAAAGCTACGACATTGGAGAATGGGATCAAATATGCCAGTTCGCCGAACAGCAACAAAAATAGGTACGCAGTGCGTACATGTTGCATGCCATCTGAAACTTATGAAGCGCTATAGCACTTATAAATCTTTGGTACAACTGGCATGAAACTTAGAATATTGATTCAATTAAGTTTAAAATATCAATATATTTATTGAAAAATAACTGTTATGTCAAAATAAGAAAACTTAAAGGGGCCCTACAGTCATTTTTTAGTCGAAAAGCCACCTTAAGTAGGGGACTCCACGGAGATTCGTTTGGCTGTATCTTACATGCAGTATTCACGAGTATGAGTACTTCCGCACACCGGAAGACGCGTGCATGCTGCGGTGCGCATGTCAAGTAGCGACAATAACAAAAAATGTAAACAAAAATTTCTTGACTAAAGAATGACTCTCTCTCTCTCTTTAAGATTCTCACGCAAATTAGCCTACGGTGCAGACCCCAGCAGAAACACGCATATAGGCAATATTCTTAAATTATAAGCGACCTTAATAGTTAGTTGCAAAAGACAGTAATACTAACAATAACAAGGACAAGGTGGGTCAATTAGGTTTTATCAAATTTATAACTAAATAACGTTATTTCCTTTAGATTTAGATTTATTGCAACTTTTTAAAGGTATAAAAAAACGTGAAAACGGTGAATTACTATAATAGATTGAAAATTATTATTTATCATTTTGACGTTTGAGTGATTGAAATGAGTTAATTTACACTACATCGAATGTCATGTTGAATGTCATGTTGAATCTTATGCGTACTTCACAATGGTTCAAATTTTGTTTGATATTACAAAATGTGCTATAGTTTTGAAGCTTAATTTGCACACAAATGACACAATAAATCAGTGCGAGCACAATGGCTCCGTTTCAGTCTGAGTATATAAAAATCGAGTATTTTGATAGCGTTCGCGGCCCTCGTTCGCGGCTTTGAGGTTTTCACGATATATAAATACAAACGCCTGATAATTGATAAATATTAAACCACTAATCAGTGCGAGCAACAACGGCTCCAAAATCACAACAACTAACAGAATATAAGGTAAGCTAAAAACAGTAAAGCTTTACCTACCTTGATTTATTTTTCTGAAGCGCTCAATTATGTAAATTTTCGGCAAATAAATATAATCCGAAATTCCTCGACGAAAACCCGGCATGAAAATGCTCGTCGGAAAAACTCGGTATTTGTCGTATTTTACAAACCTGCCACGTGACTGGTACGCTCACCGCTCACGACGACACGAAATTTAGAGCTATATGAAAGTTGCATGCCATATATGGCATGCAACAAAAAGGAGGCAGGAAACCATGACAGCGGTATCAGCAATCCATGGTGCATCCAAGAAGAATTTAAAGCCTGCTTATGATGGAATGTTCGACACCCTCCAGAAACGATGCAAGATGAAAGATTTAACAAATTATGTATTAGGTAATGAGAATTTAACTAAAACTGTAGTTTCTGAACATTACAAAAAAGAGTTGAAAGATTTTGAAAAATCAAAAGAAAATGCGGAAAAGAGTATTGCTACATTTTACTCCAGTGGTGTCATGGGCAAGAGAAAATATCAAAGTGTTAGGCTTGTGGTTTCAATGACATCAAGAAAACAAGGTGGGAGAACGGGCATATCAATTCTTCCAGGCTGCAAGGTACCCAAAATATTAACATATAATAACCTTGCAAGAGAGTTGAACAAAATTGATATTGGAAGTGTTTTGGAAATCAATAACGAGTACCTCAGTGATTTAGAAATAGATGCACCCATCAATGGCGCATACAGAGATCTAAGAGAGTACTTGCCACGTTTAGCTAAGTTCTATTTGAATACCGATAGAAAACATGCTTTAGAATGGTACGGTAAAACTGAGGGTATATTTTTAATAGCACTAGGAGGGCATGGTTGCCCATTTGGGGAACATGAAAGTGCCTGTTCATTTTTAGTTAGTTTCCTTAATGTTGGTCGAAAGGTAGCATCAAGTCATGATAACTTTTGCATTTTAGGGGCTAATTGTGACGAGACCTCTCAAGTTGTAAAAATATATGTGAGGTCTCTAGTTCATCAGATTGCTGAGTTGGACAAAAAGATTTTCCAAATTGATGACTGGGTCACAATTACCTTTAAAGTGCAAGAACTTCCTAATGACATGAAGATGCTCGCCATGCTTGCAGGGGAACTTGTCATTAGTTCTAAGTACTTCTCCCCCTTTGCTAATGTTTGCAAAGATGATGCAACTGACTTGCAGGCATCTTTTGGTCCAGAACCAGGGAACAAATGGCAGCCATGGGAATATAAACAAAGGGTCAATGTTGTTGGAAAGGTGGAATCTTTTAAGAAAAAAATTGCGAAAAAACCATTATCTTGCAAAGTTAAACGGACTAAAGTCACAGAATTTATTGCCTCGCAAAAGAGCAGGCAAGAATTCCTGCCCCTTTTGGACAAATACATTGACCAGGCACATGTGGAGCCTTTGCACCTAAAAAATAATGCCTGGCAATATTTTTTTAAGGGTGTTTTGAAAGAGGCCATTCGAAAATAAAAACTTCCAGTAAGTTGTAAGACCTTTTCTGAAGTACCCAAAGAGAGTGTTTTTGGCAGGCTTATTAGTTCACTGAAAATGCAGGTAAAAGCAGGATGCCTTTGCAAGAAGGTTAAGCGGTGGTTTGATGGCACCCAAGAATCTGGTCCTGATTTGCAATATAGGTTCACAGGCAAGGAGTCTCGTAGGTTTTGTCACAATTATATGAGCTTAGTCAATGCACTAAGTGATGATAATGACACAAAAGCAGACAGACAGGCTATCCTTGTCTTTGCCTACTTAGGGCAGAGACTACGGGACAGTGTGTCTTTCATAAACAGATTTGACATTAAAGAAGAGGAACTCGCCCAGTTTACTCTTGCAGCACAAGAGTATTTGAGGGTGAATGCAATGTTTTTGTCAACATTTGTAAATCCTACTGTTTGGGCATTGGGACATATTGTCCTTGTTCATGCCCAACAAGTGTTTTCACAGTACAATAAAGGCTTGGCTATAGTCACCATGGAAGGGCGGGAAGCCAAACATATTTTTCTTAAAAAATTAAGTCAAAATACAACTTATCAAAGGCGGTGGCTTGAAATATTTAAGCATGAATATATTATGTTAGTATGGTTACCAGAACATGGTTATGAGCTCCAAGGTAACAAAAGCCACAATGAAGCCTATATTCCACCTAGAATTTTTGAGAATCGATCATAC